TGCATGCAACTGTTTCATTGGAATGAAGAGGTTTATTGCAAGAGTGGGGTTGGATTATAATCGATTTCGGCATAGATAATTGGTGAAGGGTGTGGAGGTTTTAGATTTTTTGTTTTGTTTTGTTTTGTTTTTTTTTTTTTTTTTTTTTTTTTTGGTTTTTTTTTTTTTTGGCAGTCCAATATATTCCATTGGGTGTCCTGATATATTGTGCAAAATTATATGATTTATATCTGACAATAGGTCTTCTGTATCAAGTGGCATCCATCTATATCCATTTACTATTAAAACTCAAGAGGGTGAGAAGCTGGAGCTTCAAGTAAGACAAATATTACCATTAAATTTGTTATTATTTGTACTATGTATTAGTTTGTCCATTTCCTATGCCCATACACGATAACTTGAAATTTCTGATGTCTTTTTTCTAATTCCTTTGAAATTATTTGTAAATCCTACTTACATAGTGTATATTAAAAGTCACTTGATATGTCCTATAACATTAAATGGTTTAATATTCTATGTTGGTCAAAAAACTGAGCTCCTTTTACAGAAAAATGTCAAAAAGTTAGAAATTATTTTGTTCAAGTGATTTAACTATTTAAGATTTGGTGTTTGTGAATGTTTTGATGATATTATGATTGTAGTTGAGTCTTGGGAATTTTGTTATGGGTGTGAAGTAGTTTCTTCTTGATGCTCCAGAGACATGTTTCTTTACTTGTTATGATTTGTGTGTGTGTGTGTGTTCTTGCATAATAGAGAAGAGATGAATAAGTCACATCCCATGCTTTAATTTCTTGCTTTGTCTTCTACTTTTACTCTCTGCAAATTTCCTTTGATTAATCATGTTTGAGCTAATGGGCTAATCATAACACATTATCCGACTCCTTGAAAGCTATTGCCCCCACATACAACTGCCTAGCCCAAGCCTTCCGGGCTCTCATCGTATCTCCGCCTTCATGAACGCCAACAATCATATTGATTGTCGGCTTGTGCTTCCAATTATTATCCGGATCCTCATCCTGGACGGGTTGTTTGCCTATGTCCACCGCCTTTGTTACGGGGCAGGTAGGCGCTTCTTTTGCCAAGGCAGGCCCAAGCGCCACCACTGATTAGGTAATGGCAGCCGACCATGCTTTATATGTGCCTCAATCTCCTCTTTAAGGCCCTCACACTCTTCCGTGGTGTGGGTATTCGCACGATGGTATTTGTAATAAGGGGCCACATTCGCCCCAATCACCTACGGATTATCTCCAGGCCGGACGGGTGGAGGTGGGGGTAACTAGGTACGAACCTCGTGGACGGGCTAAGCCGTCGGTCGATAGGCGGGAGCTCCCAGTCAGTTTTCACCCGATGAACTCTCACACGCGCACCCCCGGCATCCTCAGTTTGTCCGTCTCGTAAGCTGTCTACTCGTAGTCGCTTGTGGGAGGAAACCTCTTGCTTACATTTCTGCCTAACCGCCTCCTCCATATCTGCCTATTGATTAGCCCTCTGGATAGCCTCAATGTATGTTATGGGATTCTCATCTCTTAACTTACTGTAATGCCCGTCTGCCCATAGGGGCTCAATGAAAAACACCAGGGCAGTCTTGTCCTCGAGGTCCTCGACTGCTTGGGCCTCCTTTTGCAAGCACGCTATGTATTTGCACAAGCTTTCCCTCTCGTCCTAATGCACTCTGGACAAGTCTGAGATGTACTTCTTGGGTTTCATGCTTCCTACGAAGTGTGTCAAGAACTGGCTGGCCAATTCCTCAAAACTATTAATCGATCCTGGCTGGAGCCTGAGGAACCATCGCTGGGCGGGTCCGACAAGAGTAGGGAAGAATGCTTAGCAAATCATCGGACCATCGTAAGTATTTGCGCAAGCTTTCCCCAATCACCTGCGTCTTGGTCTGCAAGCTGATCACATGGTCACGCGGGTCTCCCGACTCATCGTAAGTAGGGTGATCGGGTAACTTAAACCCGACTAGGGCCCTATATGCTTATACTTCCGCCGGAAGAGAGATGCGGTCAACATGCTTTCGGTAGCCGGCCGATCCCTCTCTTCTATCTTCTTCCGTAATTCTTGAATAGCGACTGCCAGGTCGGCCATCCCGAGGGCGGGTTACTCGGGGAGTAAGAGTGATTCTTCCATACCCTCAGCGACCTCCTGTCTGCGCCTCGCAGCTATCCTTCTCTGAATGATGGCCCGCGGCGGCTCTCGCTAAGGTCGCTATCTTCCCTTCCCGACTGATCAAATGGAGGAGCGTTGCCTGGCTCGACCTCCCAACCGATCCAAGACCGACTAGGCGGGAGCTAAGGGGCCTAACCACGAAAGCACGGAGCAGGCTGCGCAGGGGTTCGGCGGTGAGCGCCCATCCGATCGTACCGAGTACTCTGAAGCTGCGGCGTTAGGGTTGACGGAAAACAATTGTGCCGGTTGTGGATTAGCGATGTGGGGCATCTGGCTTCCCCCGCGTGCGTATACATCAAGGGCTTGTGCCAACAATTTCGCGAGAGTTGGCTGGGCCTGAGCGACAGGCAGTGGGGGGTTGCCTCCCAGGATTTTGTGGGTCGCCGCGAAAGTACGCTCGGTACTTGCAGTCGACTGCTCACCGGGGGCACAGTGGCTTAGTTGGTCCCTTAGGTCACCTACGGATGCATAGCTACCAGCAGGTTACCCTCCACGTTCGCGATGACAATAACATGCCCGTTACCTACTGGGGCGACATCGTTCTATCCATTGTTGCAGTTACTATGGTGTGAGCAAATTTCTGGCAATGGAATTTTGCATCATGTTGTTTGTTTTTTTTTTTTTTTTTTTCTGTGATGCGATCATGGTTGCGTTTATGTAGGTGGACGTGTGCAAAGTGTAGGAGTGCTTTGATGGGTTGTTGAGTGTTTCGTGGGTGGCGTGTACGGGTATATGATTTTGATTTTTGGCGTGTGCGTTACTTCATTCGGGCGTGTGCATAACACTGTGTTTTACAGAAAACATTGCAATAGTGAGCGTGCATTTTTTGCTTTTTAGGCTTGTGCAAGTTTATTGGAATTACATAACCAACAAAATCCAACTATATGAATCTTATTTTTATATAGGCATTTGCTATTTCATTTTTTATTTTTTTATTTTAAATTTGCTGCATAGGTGTGTGCACGAATTAGTGGTGGCGTGTGCGTTATCCTGGCAATTGAACTTTACATCACGTCATTTTTTTTTTTTTACGGTGGCGTGTGCATTTTTGTGGTATGTCGTTGTAGACACTTAAATTTTGATAAATATTGATTATTTATCAATATAAGTATATTTGAATATATTTATGGATAATATTGATATTATCTAATTTGTTAATTAGATAATATCAAAAGAGTTTGAGCTTATCAAAACTCTCTATCCTACAGTCATAAATAGGACCTCTCATTTCTATGTAATCAGACAGATCCTAGGAACAATTCATAGAAACATCAAGTTTATTCAAAGATCACAATAAAAATGTGATCCTGAAAGTAAAAGCCCCTCCTCCCATCCAATCGTGCCGGTTGCCGGTTGATCCAAACCTCCTCCCATCCAATCGTGCCAGTTGCCGGTTGATCCAAACCTCCATTGAAGATCAAGCCATTTGGACCCGGAGGCCATTCAAGAAGAACAAGCTATATATACGAGCCCTTCTTTGAAGATCAAGCCACTTGAAACCCTGAGGCCCTTCAATGGTGGAGTGTTCAAGGCATCCAATTGAAGAATCAAAGGACATCCAGAGATATTGTACCCGCACAACATTGAAATATACTACTGTACCTAGAATTTTGAATATTAATATATATTATTCAATTTTCTTCATTCACAAATTGGCACGCCCAGTAGGACAGCTCTGCCTCTCATCTCTTCATAGGCACTTTCAACCGATATGGAGGCAAACCCTGTATGAAATTTGAAACGGAGGAAGCTAAATGATACTCCTTGGCACGAGTTTAAACGGCCTTATATTCAGACTCCTTGGCACGAGTCCTCATATCTTTCAAGGCTCTTTGGCACGAGTTGAAACGGCCTTATATCTTTAAGTTGTAGTGTCGAGACTTTCTTGCACTACATACTTTCGAGTGTTATATGCTCTCAAGTGGTGTACAAGCAAGTCTCGAGGAGGCATTTGTAGACACTTAAATTTTGATAAATATTGATTATTTATCAATATAAGTATATTTGAATATATTTATGGATAATATTGATATTATCTAATTTGTTAATTAGATAATATCAAAAGAGTTTGAGCTTATCAAAACTCTCTATCCTACATAAATAGGACATTTCATTTCTATGTAATCAGACAGATCCTAGGAATAATTCATAGAAACATCAAGTTTATTCAAAGATCACAATAAAAATGTGATCCTGAAAGTAAAAGCCCCTCCTCCCATCCAATCGTGCTGGTTGCCGGTTGATCCAAACCTCCTCCCATCCAATCGTGCCGGTTGCCGGTTGATCCAAACCTCCATTGAAGATCAAGCCATTTGAACCCGGAGGCCATTCAAGAAGAACAAGCTATATATACGAGCTCTTCTTTGAAAATCAAGCCACTTGAAACCCGGAGGCCCTTCAATGGTGGAGTGTTTAAGGCATCCAATTGAAGAATCAGAGGACATCCAGAGATATTGTACCCGCACAGCATTGAAATATACTACTATACCTAGAATTTTGAATATTAATATATATTATTCAATTTTCTTCATTCACAGTCGTGTGCCCATTTCTGGGAATGGGACTTTCATCATGTTGTGTTTTTTTTTTCTTAGTTGTGATGTGATGATGGTTGTGTTTATGTAGGTGGCCGTGTGCAAAGTCTAAGAGTGCTTTGATGAGTTGTGAGGTGTTTCGGGGGGGGGGGGGGGGGGGGGGGGGTGTATAGGTATATGTTTTCTTATTTTTGGTGTGTGCGTTACTTCATTCGGGTGCATTTTAGGCTTGCAACAGTGAGGGTTCAATAGTGAGGGTGTATTTTTTGCTTTTAAGCTTGTGCAAGTTTATTGGAATTATATTCCATTGTAGAAACGGTGATGTAAGAATCCATTGGCGTGTGCAAATAGGTATGTCATTATATTCCATTGTAGAAATGGTGATGGAAGAATCCATGGGTGTGTGCAGTTTCTGAAAAAAGAGCTGAACTTTGATAGAACTGAATTACAATTTACAGAAATAGAATAATGTCTGGAAAAGTAATGCACCTCGTCTTCACTGAACCTTCCCGCATTGCAGATTCGTTCAAAGAGCTCTCCACCTGCTGCATATTCCATGACAATGACAAGATGAGTAGGAGTCAATACAACCAGTATCTGGAACAAAAGCAACAATTTGAGTAGCCATGTCATTAACACTTCGAGTTTTCACATAGATAAAGAGTAACATGCAAATAGATCAAATGCAGAAGCTCACCTCCTTGAACCGAATTATGTTTGGGTATCGCAATGATCTTTGGTTTATGATCTCCCTGGCCACATTCTCATCAATCTACATCCTCAAAGTACATCTCATTACCAGATTATTTTGAATAAAAGAGTAAGACATATGCTATTCATGAAACACATAAGAAAGTAAAATAAACTTTATGCAAGATCTCTATGACAGAACCTAAAACGACACAGTGATAAATGACATGAATCTACGATCAATCAAAACTGTAAGACGATGGTTCAAAACTATAAATTAGGCAAACCTTAAAGCCTCTTTTTATGTACTTCATGGCTACAAGCTCCTTCGTCTCCTTGTTCCTCATGAGTCTCGCCACGCCTGACACTTAAATTTTGATAAATATTGATTATTTATCAATATAAGTATATTTTAATATATTTTAATATATTTATGGATAATATTGATATTATCTAATTTGTTAATTAGATAATACCAAAAGAGTTTGAGTTTATCAAAACTCTTCTATCCTACAATAAATATGAGGTTTCATTTCTATGTAATCACAAATCCTAGGAAAAATCATGTAAACATCTAGAAATATATATTATTCAAGATCACAATAAAAATGTGATCCTGAAAGTAAAAGCCCCTCCTCCAATCCAATCATGCCTGTTGATCCAAACCTCCATTGAAGATCAAGCCATTTGAACCCGGAGGCCCTTCAATGAAGAACAAGCTATATATACAAGTCCTTATGTGAAGATTAAGGCACTTGAAACCCGGAGGCCCTTCAATGGTAGAGTGTTCAAGGTATCCAACTGAAGAATCAGAGGAGAGGCAGATCTGTCCCACTAGGCGTGCCAATTTGTGAACAAAGAAAATTGAATAATTAGAGGACATCCAGGGATCTTGTACCCACACCGCATTGATTAACATTGACATGTAACCTAGAATTTTGAATATTAAATATACATTATTCAATTTTCTTTGTTCACAACGTCGAAATTCCCGGAACCTATATCCTTGACAAGCTCATATTTCTCCCTTTTTCTTCCAGTTTTTCTGCTTCTTTTTATATTCTCTACACAACAAAATCTTAACCGAAGCCTGGTAAATACTCGAAATTGAACTTCAATTCATGCACGCGCAAGTGCCCAACCACAACAACTCCATTCGAAATCGAAATCTCTACAAAAACCCACCAACCCACACTCTAAGAAGAGCTAAAGCTTGAATATTTTGTTTTTAAAGCAACCCCAACCCACAAACTCAATATATACGGGAATTATGGATAAATTTAAGAATCCCAAGCTGAATCACAGCAAGAACTAGCATATTTGATGGAATCTGGCAAAGAGCAGAATGGGATTTCGCAGCGCTTGGAAGCTAGGGTTTTCCGGCATTGGGAGATGGCCAAAACGATGTTATCTTTCGAAGGATACTAGTGCGGAACGGGCCAAAAGTGTGAGAATATGCAGAGTTTGGAGTGAAGCAAGGAATTTTGAAAGCAGTAGTGAGCATGGAGACGGGGGTTGGTTGTGCCGTATGCATGAGGGAGGGTAGTGCGTTTGAACTGTAGAGAGAGGTGGATAGATTATGTTCGATGTTTTGACCCCTGATGGAAGAGTCAGCCATGGAGAATCCGGTACTACAAAAGGGATTGACGGTGCTACGAGCCACTGGAATGCGATGTTTGCGCGAAGAAAGGCGAAGCAGCTGCAGCTCTCGGGAAGAAGAAAACAAAATGCACAAGGAAAGAAAGATAATATCAAGATTTTGATACGAAAAGATATTAATGTGTGTGCAAAATTACACCAGTAACCCTAAGTATATTACAAGTCATCCATTAACAAATAAAACAATCCAGAAATCTGAACCATTAAAATAAAAAAATGAATGCTCAGGATCGAATCTCATGATCTCACCTAACTAAGGTGATCTCACTGGATCCAATATATATATATATATATATATATATATATATATATATATATATATATGTATGTATGTATGTATGTATGTATGTATGTATGTATGTATATATATATCTATATCTATATATATATATATATATATATATATATATATATATATATATATATATATATATATATAGGGAAGGGTTCAGGTGCGGGTATAGCTTCCCGTGCGGTTGTGCGGTTATATCTGAGCTGTTGATAAAATTTAGATCAACGGCTCAAATCAATAAAAAAAAAAAAAAAAAACGCGTGTCGGGAAGAAGATAGCGCCTACACAACGTCTACACAAATGATAGCGTCTACACAAATGTTAGCGTCTACACATAGCGTCTACACAAATGAGTAGCGTCTACACAAATGATAACGTCTGCACAACCTCACGCACATTAAGTACAAACCCCACACACATTAAGCACAGCCTCACGCACATTAAGCACAAACCCAAGCACTTTAAATATTAACTCACAGATTTTAAGTTTCAAATTAAGCACAACCTCACGCACATTAAGTACAAACCCCACACACATTAAGCTCAACCTCACGCACATTAAGCACAAACCCCACGCACATTAATCACAGATCCGCTCACCTTAATTTTGACCTACATGCAAAAATTACAAAATTGCCACCGCGTTTTTTTTTAAATTTTGACAATTCTGAACGTTGATTTAAGCGAGATGAATGGTCCAGATTAAACCGCACAACCGCACCAGAACCTAATTCTATATATATATATATATATATATATATATATATATATATATATATATATATATATATATATATATATATATATATATATATATATATGCGTTCAAATGAGGACAAGTATATTATAGATCAGAGGACTGTGAGGACAGATGTAGTGTGTGCCATTAGTCTGTATGTCGTGTGCATGGCCGAATGTAGTCGTGTGCCACAGTTTGTATGTCGCGTGCATACATTTCTTAATTAATAGAGCCTGGGTTCGAAACCTTATGTTTACATGTATTCTTGTGTGCCATTATGTATTAAATTGTGTGCATGATAGTAATTTGTTTTGTGCCCATTATTTGTCCTCACAGTCCTCTATATATTGTTGTCCTCATTTGAACTCAACCATATATATATATATATATATATATATATATATATATATATATAATCATACTAAAAGTTCAATAGACACTCAATCATTATGTATCACATTAAATATTATTTTTATCGTTGATAACATTTTTTTACATACCTTTGTAAACAAGTTTCGCTTTTAAATTTTAAGTTTATTAATATTCATACATAAAATACAAACAAACTTCAAAATAACAAGAACTTGTAATTTTGGTAAAGGCTGATCCTTTAGATTTAGGACTATCTGTTTTGTGCTAATTATTTTGGCATTTGGCATTGCAGGCTAAGTTAAGCCAACTTTCCAAAAATATTTTCCAACATTGTCATTGATTGATAAGTGAAGTGTACTTCTCAGTTTCGAGAAGTGTCATAAGCACCTCTCTGGCCGAAAGTGCGCCATCGGTCGTGTGACCGAGAAGTAAACTTACCTTCCGATTACATATGAGGGTATACTTTTCGCCTCAGCCGAGAAGTTTACTCGAAAAATTTACCTTCCAATCCTTGAACTTTTAGTATGATATATATATATATATATATATATATATATATATATATATATATATATATATATATAGACTTGCGTTCAAATGAGGACAAGTATATTATAGAGGACTGTGAGGACAGATGTAGTGTGTGCCATTAGTCTGTATGTCGTGCGCATGGCCGAATGTAGTTGTGTGCCACAGTTTGTATGTCGCGTGCATATATTTGTTAATCAATAGAGCTTGGGTTCGAAACCTGATGTTTACATGTATTATTGTGTGCCATTATGTTTTAAATTGTGTGCCTGATAGTAATTTGTTGTGTGCCCATTATTTGTCCTCACAGTCCTCTATATATTGTTGTCCTCATTTGAACTCAACCCTATATATATATATATATATATATATATATATATATATATATATATATATATATATATATATATATATATATATATATATATATATATATATATATATAGCGTCAGGTTTCTATGAGAACAAGTCTTCCCGTGCGGTCAGTGCGGCATACATCATTTGGTATGCATAAATGCACCACATAGTGTTCAAAAATACACCATTATGTGTGGTGTATTTTTTTTGTGTGTGGTGCATTTTTTGGCATTTCATTCTGGTGTATTCTCGAACACTGTATGATATATTTATGCATACCTAATGGTGTATGCCGCACTGACGGGAAAACCTGTTCTCACAGGATCCAAAATCTATATATATATATATATATATATATATATATATATATATATATATATATATATATATATATATATATACACACACACACATAATAAGTTTCAATATAGGTTATACCCCTGGTTTATGTCTATTTTTTCTGTTAAATTTTTTTGTACCTTATGCTATAAATGTTGTAATACATAATTTTTTGGACAAAAATATTTTTGCCATTAAAACTTCTGTTATCTTTCCACATTATTATTACCATGTACGTGCATACACAATATTTTTTTCTTACATCCTTCAATAGTAAGTTTAAATTCATTTAGGTTTTAATTAAAATAAAATGTTACCATAGTTATATTTAGTAATTTATCATTTTATATAATTTTTACCTGAATAATAGTAATATGAATTATATAATTATATTGGGTTTGATTTGGTCAAAGTAGATTTGTAGATTTCCCTGGGCATCAAGGAAATCTGGGATTGATAGATTACCAGTTCAACAAGACTGTGGAGCACATTGTGAGGAAAAAATATAGGCAGAAAGAGAAGAAGGTTCAGCCTGAAATGTCATGTAAACTTTCAAGTATTATTTAGTTTTTTTTTGAAAAAAAAAATTGTGAATCAATATAAAGTAGTTAGATTTGTCCAATGATAAAAGGAATTTAAAGGTCAAAATAACCGAATAAGCTAACTATGTTAAAAGGAAATCAGAATAGAGAGAAAAGGGAGAAAAGGAGAATCAGTTATTCATTCATCTTTTATCATATACAACCACAACACCTCTATATATAGTGTACAAACATAACAGAAGATATAATCGAGACATAAATACATGAACCGTTACAACTGTTATATAATCTATAATAATGTCCACATAATGATATATTTATAACACTCCCCCTTGGACATTATTTGTCCACGACCTTGCCTCGTTAAAAACTTGCTAGGAAAACCCTGTGGGAAAAACCTAGACAAGAAACGAGTACAATAGAAAATATATTCATGCCTCATTAAAAACTTCACTAGGAAAACCACGTGGAAAAAACCTAGTTGAAGAAAAGAGTACATAATATATGTAAAACATTTATTGTATTGGTTGCCTCATTAAAAACCTTAACTTAAGAAAATCCTATGGGAAAAAACTTAGTTAAGGGAAAAAGAGTACAACTCTAAGCCTTTAAGGCATAATCTTCAGGATTTTTGGGGTCTATTTATTTAAATATTTATTTGCAACTTTCCCCCATTGACATTACTATATCATACTAGTTTGAACTTTCCTTTTGGAGGATTGACCTAATTAATCTTCTGAAGAAACTTCTAATATTAGCAAAGATCTTGTTTTGGATAGCCTTTTCTCTGCCCTGTTGAGTGTTGAACTTTGTTATCAGTGCATTCAGTGTATCAACTAACTATTGGATATTTAAAATTGCTTCCATGCCTTAATTGTTTGCAATTTTTTTTGTATAGGGGTTTGAAGGAATCTGAAGTGGATGGTTTTGTTGAGGATGTGTTTGTGAGTGGCAAGCCCTGGGCTTCTAGACAACAGGGGTCACTACATGGTGCATATGTATTTGTCTGTGCCCATAATAAACGAGATAGGAGGTGCGGTGTTTGTGGACCTGCTCTGATTGAGAAATTTAAGGAGGAGATTGAGGCCAAGGGCTTGGAAGAACAAGTTTCTGTAGCTGCTTGTTCTCATATTGGAGGCCACAAGTATCCTGGTAATGTTATCATCTTCAGTGAAGTTGAAGGAAAAGTTGCTGGCCATTGGTAATACCTGAATCCTTGGTGTCATTTTTAATGTTCTTAGGCATTATTTTGTGTATGTGTCAATAATGAAAATAATTCAGGGATAGCTATCTTTAGTATAACTAGCCATGGTAAGGATATCGTATTTAATAGTCTTAATATCTATTCTTGTAATTCAGGTATGGTTATGTTACCCCAAATGATGTGCCTACGTTACTTGATCAGCACATTGGAGAGGGTAAAGTCATCGAACGGATCTGGAGGTGTGAACTAATTTTTCTTTGTTTCTTCTTTTACTTTCTCTTTGCACTCTGAATTCCTGCCTTGGTTAATATCTCAGAAAATGGATGGACGGACTGACAGAGCATTATTGTATAAATAATGCTCTTCGGACTTGGGATGCAGCTTTGCTTTTGAGAAAATATTAATTTACCTTTGGAAATGGAAAAATGGCATTTTTTGTTGAATTTTCTATAAAGAGTTTGATGTCTTGAATATGCGGTTCTACAGTGTCTTGAAAATATGAATATGTGTACTCAATTATCAATGGTGCTTATTGTGTGACTAAGGAATAATACATTATGCGCCATGGTGACTGCAGGGGCCAAATGGGATTACATGCTGAGAAAGCTGCTGACAAGACAGATGAGCAGAAGGTTCCTAAGGGATTACATGCTGAGAAAGCTGCTGACAAGACAGATGAGCAGAAGGTTCCTAATGGAACCAACGTGGACAACAAGGAAAACAAACCCCGAGAAACTCGTACTGAAGAGAGCAAAGATAGTTTCACGAGCTGCTGCCAAGGTGCTAATGGAATTTCTTGCTGCAGAGATGCGAGTGCCGAGGAAGTAGAGAGCAAGAAGGCACAGGGAGGCCCTTTAAAGTTTGGGAAATGGGAGCAGCGTGACATTCTTACAGCTGTTGGTGTGGTTGCGGCTGTGTCGGTCGTTGCCGTGGCATATGGCTTTTACAAAAGAGCCAGGTAAAACATGCTTGGCAGACTTCATCTAATGTTTTCAGCCCAATGTTTTTGTAGACATAAACTTACATATGTGCAATAATTGCATAACATATTTATGCGGTTATTTGTTGAGTGAAAATAATATAGAAAAAAGAACTGGAATTATTAAGGCAATGCCACTCGTATAACTGCATATGTTTGGTAAAAGTCAGCTGAATACCTGGCAGTGTCTGATTTCTACATAGGCTGTGATGAGTACCTGACCACTTTATATGGATGTTGTTCAGATTCACTTGTGCTATATACATATGAATATAGCTTGAGTAACAACAATAGTGGTATTTTTGGTATTTGTAATATAAAAGCTATTTCCAAGAGTATGAGAATAGCTAATACTAAGGCTCTCCTAGGAATGGCTATTCCCATTGCAAAGGGAATAGTTCATTTCTAGGAATGTTATTCCAATGACAAAATGACCGAAACAAACAATGGAATAGGTCTATTCGGTGCTAGTTGCATTGTTTGTTTGTTTGTTTGTTTTTTCTCTTTTTCTTTTTCCTATTGTCACACCTTTTTTTCTATTTATTCTCTCCCCTACCTGGCATAAAAACTCTGACATAAATATGTCACACATTGTGTCTACAAACTTAAATTCTAAGTTAATGTTACAACCATAGTGTTATTATTATTATTATTATTATTATTATTATTATTATTATTATTATTATTATTATTATTATTATTATTATTATTATTATTATTATTATTATTATTATTATTGCTATTATTACTATTATTACTATTATTATTATTACTAGTAGTTGCACCCGTGCGATGCACGGCCATGTTATTATGGTAAAATATATTAAAAAATTGTTTTATTCATGATATATGGTGAATAACGTTACAGACGTCACAAATACACAAAATATAATATTTTATTGTTAAATAAATAAAACAATTACAAATTATTAAAGATTTCTTTATAAACTACATTTTGAGTCTTATTTAAAAGACCTCTAGATTCCCCACAAATTAAGACCTTAAGACCATCCGGATTACTGACCCGAGAGACTGCAACATATAATTGGCCATGATTAAAAACAGGTTTTTTCAGTAACAAACCAACATGTGAAAGCGTCTGACCTTGACTTTTGTTGATTGTCATTTGCATATGATAACACAAGTGGGAATTGCTTTCTTTGAAACTTGAATGGAAGTCTTGGGTCTGAAGGAATCAAAGATAGCCTTGGTATCAGAACCTTTGTACCTGCGTTATTGCCAGCTATAATTTTCCCCTCAATAACATGATTTCCCAAGTGTGTTACTATTAACCTTGTACCATTGCACAACCCCATCGAGTGATCTATATTTCTCAACAGCATAACTGGAGTTCCAATTTTCAACGTTAAAGAGTGGTTTGGTACACCTGAGCACCTCAAGCTATTTAAAATTTTTGTTGTGTGTACCTGAGATTGCATATCAAAGTTTGCCTCAGCCTTGCAAACAGAATCACAACTCAAATATGTCCTTGATGCAGCTTGATTAATACCATTCATGTATTCATTGACCTCGTCAACAACATCTAATGTTGGAGCTAATATAGCTCTATTCTCTAATTGTCTTTCATCCATGTTGCCAGAACGGTATTCAGGGAATGTGCTTTCAACAATTTGTTTGATAGGATCAACCTCATTTTCTAATACAATGGAAGACAGCATTATTATATTGCAATCAACATCGTTGTCTTCACCAAGATTACCATCACCTAAATCCGCAATCCACTTGGCAAAACTATCTAACTTCTCAACATCGTCTTCATTAGTAACACCTCGCAATCTTAAATTCTTCGTTAGACGAAGAACTTCACAATTATTCCACAAGTAAGATGAATTAATGCTGGCTTGTATTATATCTTGTCTAGTACCTTTCGGAATAACGGGTAGAATTTGTCTAAAGTCTCCACCCAACACCACTGTTTTCCCTCCAAATGTCATTGTTGAGCTCCTTGAATTCTTGAAACGCATTAAATCTCTCATTGTGCGATCCAATGCTTCAAAGCAATGTTTGTGCATCATCGGAGCTTCATCCCAAATTATTAATTTGGATTTGATTATCAATTCAGCCAGTGGACTGTCTTGCTTGATGTTGCAAGTGGAATCTTCATTAACACCAAGCGGTATAGCAAATCTGGATTGTGCAGTCCTACCTCCAGGTAGCAGCAACGAAGCTATACCGCTTGATGCTACGTTTAGAACGACCTCGCCTTTGGATCGTAAAGCTGCTGAAATTGTCTTCCACAAAAATGTTTTTCCTGTTCCACCGTAACCATATACGAAATACATTCCACCTTTCTCAGTTTCAACATCTCCCATCACCTTATTGTATATGAGTAGCTGTTCATCAGTTAGTTTCGGATGCAACGAATTATGTTGATGCATTAGAGCTTCCCTATCATATGACATTTCCTCTAACAACAACCTGTTACCACAAAACCAATCATTGTTTCCATCTGGCATTGGCATAGGTGGGTAATCTGATAGAGATTTGTTCCAAGCATTCAACAATTTCTCCATTTCAAGCAGCGCAAAATTCTTTTTTTTGAGATTCATTCATATTTAAATCTACAAAATAAAAAACAAATGTAAGATGTAATGCTTTTAAACAGATTTTAATAATAATATTAAAATAAATTATACCTGAGACTGAGAGGTTCCTTCTATAAACATATTCAGCATCATCTGATAAGTATTGCCAAACCATCTCCCAAACATTTTCTGGTTTGGACATCGAACTGGATGTTAAAAGGGTAACAAACAACTTTCGTAGTGAACTTGCTAAAGACCACGTTGCTGCCTCAGTGATTGCATCAATATACTCTTTATCATCTTCGATTAATCCGCGGGCATAACACGCATCTCTAAATGAATTGTATTGAACACCATCGACCTTTTTAATCTCATCAAATGAAGTCGGTCCACGAACTATATTAAGTAAACACCTAAGATAAAAGATCTCACCAGTATTTGGTGGCACATAAAAGATTCGCCCAATTGCCCAATTTCTTTACCTAGGTTGCCATTCTCTTTTATCATTCTTCCAAACAAATTTGGTTGGCATTTGTGAATAAGTCAACTACCTCCCTGTTGCATACTTTTTATTAGCCTCAAACTAGGCAGTAAACATGCTTTGAGCTACTGTTGGTCGATTTACCACATCATCGACCAAATCGTCGTCATGAAATATTATTGATTGCTCATTGGGAAGATGGAAACTCAATCGCTCAACAGATGGGTTCCTAAATTGTATGTCAAACCCAAAAATCCGCCACGTAGCCTCCGGGGGTGAAATATATCTACAGTCATAGTACATCTTGATTTCATCTACAATTTTCCCAGTAGATTCTTCCACCCCACTGTTGTAGAATTCAGCTGTGACCCTATCATTCCCTTTGTTGACATACTTGAATAAGTACTTTATTGATCTAGATTGGTTGCACCACTCCACATTAATATGAGCCTTGTACTTCATAAGCAAATGTCTATTGTGTGGCACAACATATCTACTATCAAGGTCAATCCCATTCTTCCGTATTATACGACCATTATCTCGACGCCGATAGATTGGATATCCATCGAAATCCACTGTTGAGTTTTCAACAAATTTTTTGGGGAAGAATTTAGAGCAAATACCATTTATCATGCAAGGTGAGTTCTTCCTCGCTGCACCACATGGACCGTGAATCATAAATTCTTCTACAGCTTTATAATACTCAGGGTCGCACAATTGACTTGAAATTTCAGCAGATATGATCATGTCAATATCTTTAGGATTAGGGTAAGAGTTACTCTTGCTCAAGAATATCAAAATGTGAGCATGTGGCAATCCCCTTTTCTGAAATTCAATGGTGTAAATTACTGCAAATACAGAGATTATGAAATTAGACCCCCAAAAAATTGTCAATTATTTTAAGTATACGTAAAAATGAAATATATTCGGTAATATTTATAAAATCACATAAATTACCTGCATCCGCAAGTCCAAAAATCTTCTCCTTCTTAATGTCTTTTATGAGTGCATTTAATTTCATTTTAAACACACGGCATACTATATCTGGCCTATCTTCAGCTTTGAGTTTCCTTGGTTGTAAAAATCTTTCAATCTCAGGCCACTTAGGATTACACGTGAATGTAATAAATAGACTTGGATACCCGATCCATCTACAAATCGCCATTGCATCTTGGTAATTTTGCACCATATATCTTGCACTTCCTGTAAAACTCGATGGCAAAATAATGCGCTTTCCTTGGGAAGTAGGATCTACCTCACCACGTGTTAACGCATCTGTCAAACATTTGTATGATTCACACCGAAGTGACTTTTGATGAGACCTAATATAAACCAAGCGTCCTTATTCTATCATGGTATAAGCATCAACCAAATATTGTTGAAACAATCGTCTAGCATATAGCAATGTTGACATTTCATTGAACTATCTTGCAAACAGAATGAAAAATACTCTCTTGGGCTAAGTTTACTCCGTGCATTTGAACTCCGGCCTTCAACATTATTAAACTGTATATCGTCTCTGTATCCGTCTTCACCATAAGGAAATAGTAGTGGGTACTGCAGTGGGAGATATGCTGGATTGAATTCAGTTATTCTTTGAAAATGACCAGCTTTAGACTCCACCAATATATCTCTTTCTCCCATGTTTGGATCTAAATCACCAACAATCAATGTCACCACCTCCCCAACCTGTGGCAAGTTATATGTCCTTGCATCCTTGCTCCTTTTACCAATGAGTTTGATTTTAATATCAGCTCTATGATTACTTTCCATCTCTGTTTTGGCCATCCTAAAACTCTTGACCAAAACATTATTTTCATCCAGTGCATCCTTGATGTCTTTCACAATTTCACGATGCATTGTATTTGTTGACTCATCTGCCCTGTTTGAAAGAAAGAAACACATACAATTTCATAATCTATTTTATATAAAAAATGATGTTCATTTCTTTAAATTAAAGAAGCGTACATAACTTACCCAAGTACAGTTAGACGATTTTGTATCTCATTTTGAGTATCATAAATATATAATTGAGCAAACTTTGGTCTTTCACTAGATTGTGGTAGTAAACTACCCATTAAGTGGAAGTTTTGACCATGTAACCTGAAAGTCGGGGGTGCACTACCATTGTTGACAGTCCTGTCAATTTTTCCACCCATGGAAGTAAAGCAAAACATATTATTGAAGGACCGAATGTTCTTCAAGAAATAGGTACTCTTTTGATCCTGGTTAAAGAACAACTGCCTGATTGCCATAGGTGGAATATTCGGATGCGACAACTTTATCTTGACATGACTGCAGCATAGAGAATATTTCGGATTTCGAACACCGCTAGATTTATTAACTCGATCCTCTAACCAAAACATAGCTCCACAGTGATCGCACGAGTACGTTTGATCACCAAGATCACTGTAATAATCTACCAAAAAAACAAATGTTATTACTATGTTTAGATAATAAAGGTTTTTGCATTCAAAAAAAGATAATAAAGGTTTTTAATCGTATCTATACTCACCATCTCCATTTGTAGAGTTTGATGGTGTATCATGGACAACACTATTAAATGCTGACATCAAACCACGTTGCATTGAAACCTTTGGTGATGAGGTATTGTAATCAACAACGCACGATCTTGTTGTTTGAACTATAAGATGAAAAGAAATGTTAAATTTCATAAAGCAATCTATAATAATTGACTTTTTAAAAAGAATTAAATTCATCTAGAAACTTTACCATTTGTTAGAATATGCAAAGGCCCTCGACTTTCATTGGACACCATAGGGGTACTTTCGAGCACGTTAGATTGGGATGTCATTGATTGAGTAATATTTTGTAAAACTATTAAAAAAAATTGTTTTAAATCTCAAATAAAAATTCAAAATATAGTATATTAAATGCTTAAAGATATATAATTTATTGTAGAAAATTGTTTAGAAAGACCTCTAATTTGTCCGCTGGCAAAACGCCTTTTAGTTTGAGATGTTGAATTAACACATGTAAGTTGAGATCTATCACTTGCCGGTTGTATTGCAACTGAACACTCTAAACAACAAAATTACAAAAATCACACATTAATATATATAATATAAATAATTAAAATAAAACGTACTATATCATACTACCGACATTGCATTTAAAATGAAAGCACTAACCATCAATAAAAGTTACATTCGGTGTGTTGAATGTTGCATTTTCTGTCCAATAAGACAATAAATTAAAGAATTTAAAGAATTACTAATAAAGCAATGCATACAGATTACATGTGTTACATTAAATAAACTAAATTACCGCCAAAATAAAAGGGTTATATATGTAACAGCCCTAATTCAAATACTCTAAACACAAAACGTAACATTTTCATGACAAATCTAAAAATCGTCCTATATAAATAAGCATATCCTCTAATATAAGCATATTAAACATATTTAACAATAAAACATATCAATGAAATTGAAAAAACAATCAAATTTGTATAGATATATAACGTCTCATACCATTGTATACGTTGAAAGATTGTCTTGAAAGACCTTCACACTGTGTCCCAGTAAGACGGCTCTTATTTTGAGGTGTTGCATTGACACATGTAAGCTGAGATCTACCACTTGACAATTCTACTGCAATTGAACACTCTAAACAAAAAAATTCCAAAATGCTAACATTAATATACGAAGATAATATAAATACTTTAATTAAATGTACTATACCATAGCACCGACATTGCAATTAGAAAGAAAGTAATTACCACCAATCGCAATTCGTTTCGGCGTGTTGAATGTTCCAATTTCCGTACCATCATTTTCTGACATAAAAACAATAAATATCTTATAACCAAAAAAATAAATAAGTAGTAATTTAATTATTGATGTAGATATAGTTAATCCAATGATTATATAAAATATATTATTTATAAACTATTTTAGTACAAAAATTAAAATATATATGTTTATTTAACAAAATTGATTTAACAAAAATTATAATTTAACAAAAATTACAATTAAATACTATCTTTTAAATACAATAAACACAATACATAAGATTGATTTGACAAAAATGAATATCGTACTATATAAAGAAGCATATGTGCATAATAAGCATATTAAAATAATATATTCCACTACCTATATAGAATTTAACCATAAATAAGAATTCTATATATATATATATATATATATATATATATATATATATATATATATATATATATATATATATATATATATATATATATAACCAAAATAAAAAATAAAAAAAATAAAAAGGATCGAAGTGTCCAGAAGTCCATCCGATCATCACTCCCATTGTCTACGCATTGTCTTCTCTCTACGATGTCATCACTTTGTCTATCTCTCGCTATCTCTCTCTATCTATCGATCTAATCCAGATATTTTAGACGTTAATGGCGTCTGAAATTGAAATCGCCCTTATAAACGAAACTCCTTCTTGATTAGATCGCAGCCTATACTGTGATTGGGTTCGAGTGAGAGATGGAATTGGGCGAAACCCTAGATCTACTGAGATGCTTGGTTGTTTCTACGGATGCAACCTAGAGAAACCCTCGATCTGTATTACATAGCTATGGATGTACGCAGCCGGGCTAATTTACAATTGCGTCAACCTTCGCAGTAGGGTTTCTTTTCATGGAGCTAAACAATCGAATGAAGGTAAGTATTTTTCGTACTCAAACTTAATTAATCTTTACTATTTTTTCCCAAAAAATCTAGATGTAAATCAATTTTCAATTCGAATTATGTATGCTAAACTGTATGTCTGTATAGGTAGGGTTTTAACCTAGGTGAATTTGTCTACACTCAACTGTTGATTGTTTTTAATTTGCAGTCTCTAATGTGTAGCTTTCCTATAATTGATGATAAATAATTGTTTTTAACTTACCCCTAATATATGGTTATCCTTGTTCGACAGATTTGTAATTGCATGATAAAAAAATTTCAATATGAGTAGGAGAATAAAATCTTTTCTTGATTCAGAAACTGTAACGGTAATAGAAGTTTTGATGAATGTTGATCAGTAGCGTACCTTTATTTGAAATTGTATCCTTCCTTTTGGAGTCGATGACAGTTGATTTAGTTAGCTTCCTCGTGGATTTGAACTGCTTAATGTTTGGTAAGTGTTTTTCTGACAGTAGTGAGTTTAGTTTAAAATGAATGGTGTACTGTGCATTTAAATGTGAATATCTGAGTGTATGTGAGTGTAAAACATTAAAGAAAAATGAAATTCCCTAGAATTTTGTTGTTCCTTTATTAATGATTACTTCTATTGGGAAGCAGAAAAGACACATATTGAAAAGCTAGGATTTATTCCCAGCATTAATCCTGCCATATGTTGAAATTAAGTTTTGATTCCAATAATCACCTAATTAGTATATGTGTATTTTGTTTTACAATTTCAGATCCAATTGTCTTTTTGAATCTCAGTTTATTTTTCTTATTATTTTCTGTTTTTTAATAGACTTCAATTCTATTTTAATTAATTTACTCAGAATCTAACATTTGTTTTCAAGGAAATGGCACATGATGATATGAATTTCTGATGCCATTAGATTTCAGAGTTCCCGTTTTCCTCTAAGTGTACTATTAAACCTTTTGGAGAGGAAAAAAGTTCAGTATTGAATTTCACTACTGCCAAAGACCACGAATGAAGGCGTTATGGTGTACAGACTTAACGGGCTAACCTTGTTGTCCAGATTTCACAATCTTTATGGGAATTTCCATTAGTAGTTTACAATATGCTTATCTAACCTCTGTAATTTATAAACTATCTGTCGCTTTGCATCAAATCAAGGGTGCAACCTGTGTAATATGAGAACAGATCGTTTTTAGTCCCTAAATAATTAGAGGAAAACAATTACTGTGTATCTCATTGTTTTCATTCTATTTCTTTAGTGTTATACTTCTGATAACTATAACTTTGAGTTCAATTTTCATTCTATTTCTTTATTGAAGCTTTTATTCGAGTATTTGATTGAGAATTAGGATTTCCATATCTGATAAGAGTTTACTTCATATTGTTATCTGATTAATACACTACAGAACTACTTAATCTGTCTCATATTCTGTCTCAATGGTTTTTTTTGAATATATATATTGTATGTTGGCACAACTGGTATAGACTTTTTTTCTTTAACTCATTGCAGTTTTGATTCGCTAAAATGTTTAGATAAAGATAACTTGACTTTGAACTTTAGTTGTAGTCCTTATTTGAATTTTTTGATAAAGATAACTTGACTTTGAGATGTAGGAAAAACAATTGGGTTTGAATTGGATTTGCCTTTATAGACATTTAAATTTGATATTCTAACTGTTTTGTATGATATTATTGGGTTGGTTAAACTTTAAATGTTGGCTGACTTTGTAACTAATGTTACAAAGATTTTGAAGCTCAACAGGTGATATTGAATTTGGTTTGAATTGTATTTGCCTTTATAGGCCTATGACTATTGTATAATATCCTGAAAAGATTTTAAAGCTCAACAGGTGATATTGAAGTAAAATATGTGTCTAAGGTAACAAATGGTAATCATAACTTTATTATTCATTCAATTAAAAGACAAACACAATTGACACAGTACACTTTTGGAACTGATATAAGTACAATTTCCTTTATTTCAGGTGGACTGAAAGTTCAAGGACCACAACATGAGAATTACTATCCCTAACAGATAAGTACATTATTTAAATCCACTGCCATTAGCCTTCTTTATCATTCTGTTTCTTATGCATGCTACCTGATCTCTGCCTGTTCATACCTGCAATGAGTTAGGAAAATAGACAAACCATAGTATAAAGCAAACAAAAATCATTTATAAGAGTATCATAACAAAGCACTTATACAAAGTGCCTAATGTCTATGGCATACCTGCAATGAGTTAGGAAAATAGACAAACCATAGTATAAAGCATACAAATATCCTTTTAAACAGTATCTTAAGAGTACTTATAAAAAGTGCCTAATGTCTATGACAAACAATCACCAATAACACATAATATGTACTTAGGAGTACATATTATCAAATTCCTGCTTACAAAACATCACCAATCACACATAATATGTACTTAGGAGTACATATTATAAAAATCCTGCTTACAAAAACAATGTCCACCCAAGTCACCAATATTCAATCATCTTTGTCCATCATTTAATCACAGAACAGAATAACTTTTCTCCTGTTTAACCAAAACAGTCTTTGTTTTCTTTGCATCTCTACTGGATGAAAATTGATCCAGTAAATTCCTCTTTGATGACACTGGCTCCATTGGCTCTTCTTGTTCATCCATGTTTTGCTTCTTAGCCTGAGTAGGATTGGGACTGCTTGCCTCATCACCCGATTCAGATTCCTGTTATAAATAAGAACCAACAATTAGTTAGACCATTAAGTATCTAGATTATTCAATCAAGTGACCATTACCCAACTACTTACATCAGACTCTGCATCTTGATCATCTTCATTTAGCATCCTTGATAGCTGATCTTGATCATCACTTAAACAGGGGCAGTAATGATCAATTAAGTCTGAATCATGTGCTATTGCAACCACAGGTATAGCTATTGCTTTATTCTTGAAGTGATCATTCTTAGCAGAAATCTTGAAGACCATAGCCTTATTACGGACCTCTTCCATACCAGTTGGGAGAGGAGACCCATCCTGCAAAAAAATAAAAGTGTTTAAATACAAACACTTTCATCAAAAAAAAAAAAATACACTTAAGAAAACTGTATAGTCATTTTTTTTTTGTTGTCTAAAAAATACCTTCGAGTATTTGTTCCTTAGATCAAATGCAGTCTTTCCAACAATTTCGCAACACTCCTTGTCCCACAACAGAAAAGGAGCATCAGCGGTCTTATCTCCTACCCTCACAATCAGCCTGTACCTTAGGTTTCCCTCCTGCCATGTTGTGCCACATGATAGACATTGTAGAGCCCCATTCTTCAAGTGCAATTTTCTAAAGCATCCCTCACTCCTGCATGAATGGTAATACCAATTTGTAGTACCCTCCACAGCAACAATCCTCCCAGGAACCCAGTAGTAGCCTTCCTGTTAGTTCAAATTAAATAAAATTGAAAAATTAGGATTAAAAAGATCAAAATAGAATGTTAAGATTAAAATAAGTTACATTGTACCTCGGCTCTTTCATACAGATCTTTGATAGTAGTTACTGTCAGAGGAGATTTGGAACTTTCTGCAGCATTTCCATAGGAAATGTGAGACACAGTTTGCACACTTAGAGGTGGCCTGGTATCAACTTTCAAACTGCAGATTAAAGAAAAATAAAACAGTCAACATGTTGATCTAGGTTAGTTGCTTCAAAATTCAAATTATGTGGAATTACCTGTCTTTAAATTCCTGGAATTCACTGCAAGGGTGATTAAACCATAACTGGGTTGCACTGTAGGAGGATGAAATTCTGAATTCATCTACACATTAGAAAAAGAAATTTGTTATAAAATAATGAATTAGATGTTAATGAATAAGATATCATGCACTTACTATCCACTTTCTTTGCTCGACAGAGTTGGAGTAAAACAATCAAAGGCCCTTCCACGTGGGTCTTGAAATAATGCATGGCTGTATCAACATGTTGATCCCGAACAGTACACTTAAGACGATTGCCCCTAAAAGTGAGATAAACAGATTGTAAGTAGATAAAATATATTGTACTGAATAAATTTATACTGAGTTGATTGCTTAATGCTATTTTGCTTATAGAATATTATATTTATTGCAGGTGTAACTACCCTACAACTAAAGGTGATATAATTGATGCTTTAAACAGTAGCCTGGTATGTATTTAACATATTAAAGTCTAGTCTTTTAATAAATTTGAATCTGTCCTACTGGGCTAATACAGTGAAAAATCACCAATTTCAGATTGGATTTTCAAATAGCACAAGACTTACAATGTGATTGAAAACAACATTAAGGAGTATAGAAAGAATCTGAAAAAGATAAGTATCTTTTGTATAATAGATATTTTAGTCGAATTACTTGATATCCAAATTTGATTTTAGTAAGATTTTCTTATAGGATTTTCTTCTACAATCACAGATTTGAATACATACAATCTTTATGCTATTTTTCTTATAGAATCTTTCATTTAACTGCAGGTGTAACTACAGTACTGATCAAAGTGAAAAATTGAATGCATTAAACAGTGGCCTGGAGGTACTTAAAATGTTCAATTTCTTTTTTAAGATTTAGTTGAATCTGCCTTTATCTATAAGCAGTTTATTATTAGGAAAAAAATGGAAATATTACTGCAGTTTTATATATGTACATAAACTTAGAAGAGAAAGAATACTTACTGGCCATCTTCTATGAGAAAATCCACCAATTTTGAAGGAAATCCAGCTATAACAATCTTTTGGACTGTAGTACTCCACCACTCTACCAATCACATCTAAAAGGGGAATAGAAGAGTTAAAATGGAACAAAGTAGAATGAAAACATAGGATATAGGATATAGGATATATAATATAGAGAAAAGAAGTAATAGATCAAACCAATGAGATGTTTTTCAGACACATTGCCACTCATTAAGTCAGTATAAGACTTAAGCCGAAACATTAGTAAGGGAAAACCCTTGCGCCTGTGTCTCTCAACAATAGTCTCATGACTAAATCTGATCATGTAGTTGTGATCAGTAGTTTTGTATTGGTAGTAGTGGGATATAACTGCAAAATCTTTGATGGCATACACCTTCCCTTCTGTTAAAAGTTTTGAATACTTTTCCACGCAGTCTTTAGGGATGTTCCCATGAATGTATGTACCCTATCAACCAAGAACATATACATTGTCTAACAACTTATAGATTTCTTTTTTCAGTTGAAATGGAAAGAGAACTTACCTCAGTGTCATGAAAGACACATTCCTGACTCTTGATGCTATCCGAACTGTTGCGACCTTCGGGTACCGTATAGGTACGAATCAATCGTAGCCTGATAGCTTTTTTGTAAGTAGATAGTTTGATGTCTTTACCTAGAACATAAACAGGAGCCATTTGCAGATATTTGCAGATATTAAAAAATTTGAAAGCAACCAAGAAAGATGAAGGAATCAATTAGACTGAAGGAGAGAAAAATGGTAGACAATTATGAAGTTCCCTCACAGTATTTATACACGCTTGGTGAGAAGTTTGAAATCAGCCATGATCTCTCGGATGCCTGCCAATTAAGCCTACACATTGGAAGAACAAACGACACATGAATTTAAAGATTATATATATTTAAAGATTATATATATGTTGTAATATATGTATGTTGTATCCGTTGTATATAGATCGTAATTGTATGTATTTGTATTTGTATCGTATTGTATTTCTCAATATTTGTTCGTTTATTGGAGTCCCAATTAAATATTTGTCAGCCGCATTAATATGAATGGCGACTGACCACTTTCCCATATAATTGGGACTCTAAAAAACAGCTGATCATCATAGATTTATTCTTTCAATTCTTTCAATTAAAAGACCAACACAATTGAATTTATCTATTGGTTTTTTTTTTTGGAGTTTAATACCGAGAGAAAAGCAAAACGACGTAGTACAGTTTGAGCGGGAAAATGGAGCCATTTCATTGGCCGAAATCTTATGGCTTTAATATATAGGAAGATTCATGCCTCGTTAAAAACACACACTAGAAAAACTCAATGGGAAAAAACTTAGTGAGGAAAAGAGTACATAGTATGTATATGATGCAAAGAGTACAATTGTTAGTCTTTTAAGACCCAATCTACAGGATTGATTTGAGTGAATGTAGTTCCCGTCTCCCCCTGAAGATAACAATCTATAAGTTCTACAAAACATGTAGAGAAGAGATATGGTACAATTTTCAGGATTGTCATTAGAATTTATCATTTTATACTATTATCTCGTGACTCTTCTGGAGTATACGTGGGTCGAATATTTATATAACTTGTCTACTATCCTTCTAATATATCCACTTAGCGATGAAGTAATGGACTTCTGGTCCCCAAAAATATCATCATTATCTAGATAGTCTTTTATCTATTTCGAGATATTTAGACGGAAATTAACGTACTGAATGATATATTTAGGACATTTTCAAGAAGGATTTATATATCCTTCTAGGAAACGATATTTGAGTTTATCAACCACATATAACATTACTAGGCATGCTTCTAATATGAATTATGATAATATACTTTCATACTTTCTTCTTTGGGAGAAAATACCTTTAGTCAATTTATTGACTATAAGAAAGATCATAGTTAGTAACTTACTAACTTTTATACTTTTGTGATTTTCATTCATCACATGTTGAGAAAGTCCATTAGGAATTTTAAGTAACAAGTTACCCATAAATATGTGATAACTATGTCTATTAGCTACATATCTAATTAACTAATTTATTAAATGCTAGTTTTATTGAATAGCGGAATATAAAGTCGTGACTAATATTGGGTCTCTGCGAAAATCCTCAACTCGCCTTTTATTAGTGAGTTTTGATTTGTATGCCTTAATTGCTATTTTCTATCAAAACAGTTAGCACGCTTCGGGCGTTATACTACTGTTTTAATTTCTGGATCCAGATTATAAGTATTTATGAGCAATAGAGGCAAAATATGTTGTCGACAACTGTAACAGCTTTGTAAATATCTTTTATACACATGGCAATTTTGTATCAACCAAATATATGGCATTTCCCAAGAGTATTTGAATTTGGTTGTTCCGCTTCCCCAGTATTTTAGTTATTTGGTGCACCAACAATTTTACTGGGGTTTTTCGCCTTCCAGACGAATATCTTCAGGATAATATCTTATATTTCAGGAGTGACGAAATTTCTACACTAGATCTAGTTTTTGCAATTTCTTAAACCGATAAATTTTCTATGCTTCTAGCATAAAAAAAAATAATAAAAAAAAAAGATATTTAGTCCTTATTTTGGGGATTTCAACTCTTAATATATATGAAATAATTTCTATGGACTTAGTCACTCCTTTGACATTTCTAGGAGATTATTTGTTCAATGTCTGAACTTCTGATTCTATAAAGCTAGTACATGGGTTTGAAGATTTTTTCATCTCATGAAATTTTCTCTGCATTTAATTAATTAGGAACTTCAAATCTCCCCCTAATGTCGAGAAAAGATCTTATAATGCAACCAGAATCACTGTTGGTTTCTCATGATGGGATATAGGTAGGAGGGTTGCATACTAAAAACAATGAACGCAGATAGGGAAATGCATCATGTACTAACGTTTGTGATAATGTAGTGGATCATCATATTGGTTTTTCAATTTTTTTTGAAGGTCCCAAAAAAATATTTCCTCCAAAATTGCTTAATATGCTTTCCGAACATAACTCTATTAAGATTTAGACCTTTGGTTAAACAATATGATATTGTCTATCTTAAATAATTGTTTCATGACAATTAGAGAAATAAGTAGAGTACTCAACATACTATGTCGTATGGAGTTAACTAATCAAGATAACATATCATAATTTCGTCTATGGATCATGCTTTCTAAAAATTAAGTATCAATTTGGATGCATGACAAATATTATCTTAAATAATTGCCTAAAAAAATATCACACAATGAATCAATGATATAAACATGCATACAATGACCAATATATATAATATTGTCTTTTGAGAAAACCACTTATCTGGTGTTTGCAGGATATTGTTTTACAATTTTATGGCGATTGCATGATCTTTTCTGATATTGGTAATTGCCAATGCTGCCTCTCACATATTTGACAAAGGATAGCCAAAATATCATAGATATTTTATTACCATAAAAGAAAGTGCAATTGTTAGTCTTGTACTTGCTGTTGCCAGGATGATGCGTGACCCAAGCCAATCATCGGACAACAACCATATAGGTATTAGTCACTCAAGGTAATAACTATACATTTTTAATAGTCGATAAAGACATGTGTTCAGGAAAATATGGTCACATGCACATAGTAGTGCTCTTGGCTAAAATATTAGTGACCATAGCATCTACAGGGGTGTCATTTGCCTTAGGCGAAGCTGGTTGCTTCCCTTTCACCAAATTGGTCTTAGTGCATTCCTCCATGTAGTGCTCTTGGCTAAAACAATTAGTACACTTCAAATTCCACCAATTGGAAAAATAGTTCGCCATTTGGCATCATGACAGGGATTTCATCCACAGGATGGTAAGAAGAGTCAATTTCAATTGGCACACGGAATTAGTCATGGCCACGTTTTGCAACCATATTACCATAACCATGCTGGTTAGAAACAGCAGAGGGATAACCAGAGCCAAAAAACCCCATTAAAAAACTTGCAAAAGGGGCCCTCATAATTGTAAAAGTATGGTCATTCTTCCATGAAGTAATTGTCTAAATCTAAATTGAATAAGCATTTTATGTACAGTCCTGGGAGAACAATTCCAGGAGGAATCTGAAGTCCTTAGGAACAATGGTGAAAACACTGAGGCAAACTAATGCTTCTGATAACAAACTGGAGTATGCCACAAAACTATTAAGAAGAATTATAATGTAGGTTCTGCTTGAAATTCTTTTTGCCACTTCTTTCCATAGCCCAAGGCCTAAAAGCAACTTTTAACAGCACGCCC